TTGGGTCAAATATGGACTAACCCAACTGTTGGGTTAAAAAGTTAATTTAAAAATGTAACCAAAATTTAACCCAACAGTTGGGTTAGTCCATATTTGACCCAACATTGGGTTGAAACAACCCAGCATTTTTTAGAGTGTATATATTCAAATAGAAAATTGTAATATTTCACAATATAGAGCAGTTTTTACTGTAATTTTTATTGCAGCCTTGGTGAGCAGAAGAGAAAAAACAATAACATGAAAATAATATTGCAGACTCCAAACCTTATAGTGTATGCAGTCAAATGTGTAACAAGGGTGGTAGTAGGGAAATGTTACAGTAATTAGCCTAGTTTGAAAGGTAGTATACTGCAGGTCATATTCAGCAGGAGCTAAAGAAGTAGAGATGAGTGTTTTTAACATCCGTTCCCTGTGGTCCTCGTTATGAAGGTGTGATACACTGCAGCAGAGGAGCAGTCCCTGAACATTGTTTCCCACTGTGTAAAGATGGCAAACATTCAAAGCTGAACTTAAACTTCACACCTCTGCATCAAAACACTTCCTAAACCCAAAGCAAAGCAATCCAGAGCTGCTCGCATAACTACAATGCTATCACTTATAACGGTAATTAAATACAGTAATCTGAACATTGTGTGAAAGAAAGCAATATTTAAGGGTTTTAAAATGTTTATTTGATTTTCTTCATTTTGCTTCACACTGTTCATCAGTCAGTCTCTCCCATGTGTTAAATATGCATTCCCGCCCTAATTTACCTCCATTTCTTTTGATTTCTACATCAACTCTCTCTTAAATCCAAACCAACCATTTCCTTTTAATCCAACAGCAACCAAACAGAAAAACAAAAGAGTAAATCAGGTGAAAAACAAACTATAAATAAACATCTTATATCATACATTTCAACACAATACTTGTGAGAGAAAAAAAACAAAACAAGAAAAAGAATAAAAGACTTAAATAGTTTTTATATACAGAACACTGCACATCTGACAATACAAAACACGACCTAGCGAGTAAACCTGAAGACACTTAAAGCACCAGACACGTTTTGGCAAAGGCTGTTCTCTTTACAGCGTAAGTTGTCAGTTTTGGCGCATACAGAAACAGACAGAGATTGGCACAAGAGACTTTCCATTTAGTTTGCATTTACACTACAGTGTATTCCAGCAAACTGCTACAGAAGAATTTATGAACAAAACTGATATTTCCAGCACAATGTCAGTCACACAGCTCCGTGGGATCAGGAAATAACTCAAGCTGTCAGTCCTCAATACAATACGTGATTATAGTTTTAATATTCATCACTGGATCTGACATCGATGTAGAAATGCTTTAATCTGGCAGTGCTGCGACACACTATGAGATGAACATGTGTAATATATGTTCCTCATTCAGAAATACTATGATCAACCTTTACTCGTGACTATAGTGAAAACATTCGACTGGTCATTTTTTATTAGTGATTACTGAATGAACATTAAACACCTGAACAATATTACACCAATGTGACTCTTTTCTTGCACAGACAGTGTGATTAAAGTGGCCCCAGTCTTACAGCATGTGGAAAGGCAGACAGATGCTCCACAAAGTCAGTTTCTGAAAGACTGGACAGCACAGTGAAAGAAAGGCATGAGAATAACACGCAAGTTAAAAGCCACCGACAGCCGTGTCAGACTCAGAGAAGTGCTTCCTGTAAACAGTGGCACACTACTGAAGAGGCTCGCTGGTGCAGCAGCACGCGGTCACACGGTCACAGGGCTGAGCATCTGTGGGCACTCAGAGCTAGCGTCAGTGCTGTGCATCATGCTGCGGTCTCGCTCCGTCCTGACAGGCTGTCTGCGCCGCTCCAGACTCTGCTGACCACACAGCTTCTTTGGCCTGTCGAATGCAGTTGAGCCACTGCTGTTTATTGAAGGCGTCGCTGGCCTGGAAGCAGTGCATCTGCAGCTGTCCTCCGCTGCGAAACACCACCTGGAAAAAGTTCTTGGCTGGACGCAGACAAACAGAGATGGACATGTTTAGAGCAGCTGTAGTTCTGAAGCATTCACAGCATGTCGAGTAAGACAGGGATTCTTGATGCCACGATACAGATACAGCACTGGTCAAACGTTTGGGATAATTAAGATTGCTTTAAATGTTTTTGAAAGAAGTCTCATGCTCACCAAAGCTGCAATTATTTGATAAAAAATACAGTAAACACAGT